AAAGCTAAGCCAAATGCCTGATTTGATATTGAAATATTCTGCAAATTTTTCTGCAAAGTCTTGGAATTCAATCTGATTTCCAAATGTCATAATTTTAGATGAAAATACTTTTTCTAAAAAAACCCAAAAACATAGCTTAATCTGTTTCCATTCATTCCAGTAATTCCCTTTGTCAGTTGAAAGACACAAATGTCAACAAACCCCTAGTTAGCTCAGTTCCTGCCCTTGAACAGGGAGGAGTGGTAATCTGTCACTTCTGCCTGTCATTTCAACCTGACCTGCCCTCTCTCTCCTCACTGCTGGACTTGACAGGGGAAGGTTTACTCTGCTTCCCACAAATCACTCAGCAGCCTCAGCTCCAGGAAGGCTAAACACTAAACTGTCTGGCCTTGATCATAATCCATCCTTTCCCCATACATTTCCTTCTCCAGACTGATCCTGGATAAACACCTTGGTATTCTAGGCCTGAGCAGCATGCCATGAATTCGTGGTTTTAACAGTTATTTTTTCTGCTTCCACCTCTGGAACAGCTCACAGTGGGGAAGAACATTCTGTTCCGGGGGAAGCCTGAATCCCGCTTTCATTAGTTCTGACAGTACTGGCCACTTGTTCCAAACCAGAAGATCTCCACTGAGGCCTTACTAATCACAAGACTGGCAGGCCAGCTAAGAAAAGTGTGTGCTTACAGCTCCAGGGGTTGGGATCTTACAAATATTCTATGAGAATCCACCAGTGGTCATGGAATCCTACCTAAGCCAATCCCTGTCCTTCTCCTCCCTCACCTCCTCTGCAGTTAGCTGGCAACATTCAAGCTAAATGTCATTAACCATGATTCTTTCCTACTGAAATACTGAGCTGCAATCACACTGCTTAAAAAGTTTTACATTTCTTTAATTCTACTTTTTTACAGCACAGCCTTACAGGTCTACATTGATGTATTTCTGTGGGCATCCTGCTCATATACAGATGCTGTAACGTCTATTCTAGAGAGTTAATCATAATGTAAAGATCATCAACATATGTCAAAGCCATCAGAAGATCCTCCTGACACATGAAACATTTAGAAATAATTTCCACAAGTTTTTTTTTTTTCTCTCCTTATTCAGCTGTTTTCTAGGAAAAAAAAAAGAAAAAAGCCTCACAAGTTAAACCTGTATGGTTTTTGTGAATGTTTTCCTTTGTGTTTATGGGTTTTATTTATGAGGTGCTATGTGAGACAAAAGTCATCCCAGGCTCATACTTTACTAGTTCAGTAAATTTTCCATACTTTAATGATCAAGCTGCATACTTTACTTGTTACTTTTTAATATACTTCAGTGATCAAATTGTATAGCATAATGATCAGTTTTCCTAATGTGCCTGAATGAGTTGCATACCTCATTAATTTACATACATACTTTACAGGCTAAAATTGTGGAGTGTTTGGATGAAGTGAATAATTTAACAAGCAGCCTTTTCTCACAACCTGCACAGGAGCTCAGGAATGAGTGTGAATCAGGGCAAGATGAAATTGTAAAGGTGTGGGTGGGAAATGTTTGTTTTAACCCAAAGTGAAAACAAAATATTTCAGAGCACCTGGAAAGATGAACCAGCACTGCAAACCTGGTTTGTATTTGCTTTGTATTTTCAAAATGTTCCCTTGTGGACTAACTTTGGATTTTAATGATGGATTTTTCCGTTCTACCGCTAACACAGCCCAACAACCTGTCCAAGGTGAATGCTCAGCATTTTAAAAAGCAGTTCAAACTCCAGCCCTGTCAGGAACCAATTACCTCTTGAAAGATCTGGAGGCATCTTGTTTTATTGCTGAGTTGAGGTGCAAAGTATTGAGGGTCTTGGAGGACTGTTAAAAGAGACTTCCTGTAAAAACACAGTCCTGTAGAGTTTGGCCCCATCATCCACTGTGCAGCTTGACGAGTTGTTAAGGATGCTTAAAACCTCTGTGGAGAAGTCATCACAGCCAACCCTGCCCTAAGAAAACCAGCTGCCTGTTCTAAAGGTAGCCTGAGAGCTTGCTGGTGGGTCAATATTACAGGACAAAAATACATTCTTTCAATAATTATACAGGCATGTTATAGTTCATACAAGTGGTCTTTCTGTTGATATGAGTCAGATGAAACTTACTGAATTTATTCCAGCATAGAAGCAAGAAAGGGGAAATGTGGCATTTACAAACCTTTATAAAGTATCCCACCATTTCATACATGAGAATCATGTAATCTATTTGTTAAGACTGCATTTTAATTTCAATAAGCTGAAAGCATAAATATTTTTAAGTTCCCAACTATTTTTAAATAACTATTATTATGGACAAAGTAACGGCTGCACTATTATAAATATTAATGCTGAATTTACAGAGAATAAAATACATTTAAGCAACCTTATAAAATTTTAATAAAGCTACACTTACAATAAGCACTTTGGTAAAACTGCCTGTTGCCAAATGACACACAGTCTCTAACCAGCTACAAATGCCTGTAAAACATTACAAACATTTAGAAACACATAGAAAACTTTTGGAGCTGTTTATGGATTTTCCTTCATTTGAAGCCTGTGGTCCTTCCTCTTCCATCTCTTGTGCATCACTCAAGCCCTGTAATTTTGATACCTGACAGACTTTGACTCAGGATTTGAAGCGGCTAAGACAGGTCTCACTGGTTTTCCAGCTTCTTCTTTGTGACAGGTTTAATTGCTGTATAGCTCTGTTTAGCACAACATTCCAGTATTGCCATGGCAATAGAGAGGTGCAGTTTGCCATTGGATGATGATTATTATTTTTTCTCATTTTACTTGTGCTTTGAGCACGTACTTTCAAAAAAGAAACATGGTTCTTTCTCAGGACATAAGCTGCAATTTAATACTCTTTTCTAGTAACAAAATTTCATATCCTTAGCCAGGTCCAGAAATGAGCTGTAAGGAAATGTCATTTGGACTCCTGAACACTCAGATCAACTCACACCTGCTACCTGCTGGGAAAGGCAGGCTGAGAGGGGAGAAGCCAGAAGAAAGGACTGTGAAAATTAACAAGACAGAGACGTCTTTGGTTTACACATTTGATAATGTTCCTGTTGCTTGCAAACATGGTAGGGATAGATGGCTGTACTGATAACAGGATGTGACTAAGAACTGAGGGATCTGCTCCTGCAATCTGCACCAAGTGAGACACTGTTGGCACTGACCTCTGCACCGAGAAACAGCAAATCTGGTTTAATTTGAGTTGTTGCATCTCTCATATTCAGAACATCAGAAGACCCTGCCCATGACTGCAGTCAAGATTTTCTCTGTACTTGACTAATCTCTGTGTCTACTCTGCCATTCTAGTTTGGCACCAAAAACCTGGTGGGATTCCTACTCCACTCATTTTTCCCTATGCCCCTACCAGTCCATTAGGGATCATTTGGGATATTTGGGTAGCCAATGTCCTGTGTCACCCATGTGGGGCAATCTGGCTGCATCCATGGTCATGTTTCCAGCTTTCTGCACATTCAGACCAACATCTAAGTGAGTGTACGACTTAACTAATTAGAGCACCTTGAAAGAGGGTAAGGGCTTCATGGAGTTAAATAGAAATTAACAGAAATAAATGTGACTTTTAGAAAATATGTGAATATATGTGAATCACATGCTTAATCAGTCATTGCTATCACATCTAATCCCATCTTTTAAAGAAATGTATTATAGCTTGGTGGCTCTTCTGATTTCTGAGGTGGTTTATATTTTCTCAGGACACTTTCAAGTGCACTGTGAAATGCACACAAAAGCTGAGGTTTTTGAGAAGGTGCGTGAACTGTTTGCCTCATCATTTAAAGGGGAAATGGCCAAGAACTTTCTGAAATTCCAGTGATTACCTACTCTAGTCTCATCTTTTTCCAACAGAGAAAATGGCTGAGAAACCAGAATTCAAACTATTTAAGCTAACCTTGACATTCCAAAAGAGCAGTCTTTACTAGTAGCCATTTAGCAGTTCACACGGAAACACCTGAAATCCATATGCCTTTTAATTGCAGGTGTTCTTTACATGAAGAAACAAAACACATTTATCAGAACCACATTTACCCTGAATCTTTCCTTTATTTTAAAAATAAGTTTCAATTATTGAAATGAGCCAAAAATAGTTTGCGGTTCTGTGACATGTGTAAATATTAGTATGGAAATAAACAATAACATGCAGTAAAAGCTAAAAGGCATTATAGCAAATATCCAAACATTCCCAAAAAGGTAGTGGTTAAGACAAGAGAGGAAGCAAACAAAAATATTAGAGGGTTGCCTTAAATAATTTACATTAAAATATTTTGTAATTCAACTCACCTGAGCATATTGAATTTGCTTTTTTTCCCCTCCACCATGACTGTTGGTGAGGCAAGTTAATTTTCTGCTCTATAAAGGACTTAATAGCCTTTCATCCTCATGAACTTCATCTCATCCTGAAGACTTACTTTCTTCTCATCCTCCCTTGCACAAAATTCCCAGCCCATTCCTTGTGGGAGTTTTCCAAAGGTTTCCCAGGGGAAACAGTTTAGGGAACAGTTGCAGCAGCAGAAATTTTGAGAGAGCAGTTCAAGAGAGTGGCAGAAATACCGAAGTCTAGAAAAGCTGTGGGTCAGCTTGTTGTGGATCAAAGTTGTGGCAATGTGACCCTGATAAGTTTGGAACAAACATTCCAGGAGTCTCCAGATAGTGTGCAAAGAAATTTCTGTAAAGCAGCAGCATCTCTGTGGAACTCTTTTATGTGGGTTCTATTTGCAGGGACATCACTAGCAGTGTGTTTATTGAAACCTGTGTTATTTCTGACTGCACAGGCTGAGGTTTCAGACATGAAGACACTGATGACAGGGAATTTATATCCCCATTTCCCTCCCAGGGATGGTTCTCTTCCCCACCCCTATGCAGGCAGCAGGTCTCCTGTGGTCACACACACCTGGTCAGGCTTTTATGACATTGATGTTCCTTGACCCAGGTCACAGGGCCAGAGAAAAAGTGCTGGTTTTGACCAAGGCAGAAGGCAGGACCACATTGCTGGGGATACAGGGTCTGCCTCTAAAATCATGAGCTTAAACTGAGCCTGAAACTGCAGGTGCAGATGACACAGCTCTAGAGTTTTTTGTGATGGCAGTGTGTTCTTCAAGGTTTTTTTTGATTATTCTTTTCCATGCTTGATAACAATCTTGCTGTGGCAGGAAGAGCTATTTCCTCTAGAGGCTGCTGCATTTCAGTAGACTGCGGCACAGCGGTCTAAGACTACTTAGCATACAGCTTTTATTCATTCAGAGCTTTCCAATCCTAGGGAGAAGTGGTTATTTTTATTGTTCTCGTTTTACAGGTAGAGAAACCAGGAAACATGCTGCTTGACAGCTAATGCACCTTATCTGTCTGTCTCAAAATCAGAAGTGGCCCAGAGCATAAATGCAGATACTTGCAGAGCCCCAGGTGACAGGTGATAACTTCTGAAAACACTATAATGTACTCACATCTGATCAGATGTCTTTATTCTCGGTTGCTATATGGTTCTTTTGTCTGATAAAACCATACCTGTCTGCAGTAGCACAGAGTATCTACTTATAACAAGTCTCATCTTAGAAAAATCAGCAGAGCTGTTTGGAAGATGTGATATTTACAGGCTTGAAACACAATTTACAGAGAACTGGAGGGGGAAAGGGGGATTTTTTGGGAGAGAGCAAGGCCCTGACAATTCGCTGCTTTCTTTTTCCTTTCTAAATCTTACTGTCACAAAACCTCTAGGCTTGATTTGATATGTTTGCTTTGTGGAATTTCCAGAATACAATCAATTAAGAAGCCTACAGTTGCCAGAAGATGGTATTTCTACACAGGCCAAGGTTGCTGGTAGCACCCAATAGCAGTAAAGTTTTGAAGCCTTTGGCATAGTACCCAGCCAGGCAGAAAAAAAATAGACATTAAATAAGATGAAACTTACCTTATACAACAAATCCTAAGATGACGTAACTGTTTCCTTTATCTTTATTAGGGTTTGTTCTAAGCTGAGCTCTGCAAAGCTTGCAGGTGGTGCAGCCTGCTTTTGTTTCTGCTGGTATTCAGATGCTCTGCCATCCTCAATTGCTCTCAGGAAATCAAAATAAGAGAGCTTGCTGTCATGAATGCTGATTCCTAAGCTAAGGGAAAAACATGGAATGAGATATCAGTGATTTTAAATCATTATCTCTTCTTGTATAAACTGATTAATTATTATGATGTATTATTTATACTGCAGCAGCACTTCAGGATATACTTGAGGTGTCAGTGCAGAAATCTTGTTAGTTCCAGCCCAAGCTTTTTATCAGGTCTAAGATACCCATCCTGTCATTTAAATTCAACCACAGCCTCAGATGCACATCCAAGTCAATCTGCAGATGCTCAGGAGGAGACTTGCTTTAGCCTGGGCACAAGTGCGAAACCTTCCAGTCCATCAGGAATGACTCCTTGATTTTAAACACAGCACAGTGTTTTGATCCCCTTTTACTGACGGGCTCACTATCCCCAGTGTGGCTGAAGGACATGCAGTCTCCCAGCTTTGTCTGTGGAATTCTTTCACATCACAGTGCAAACACAATCTAATGGACTCTGCTGAGGAATGGATGTTCTTGGTGCTATGAGCTGCTACTGGCCCTTGCCTTCCAACTTTACAAATATACCTTTGACTGCAGATGCTGAAGTGCTGCTAAACCCTCCAAAATGTTGTGATCATGCTGAGAGGAAGCAGCAGAACCACAGACAGCCTTTTAAGCTGCTGCCTGACCTGAACTATGACTATGATACCCAGTACCTTTCTGTGGTTGCTTTTTTGGACACAGCAACACAGATCTCTACTCACAATTTCTCTAGCATGTGGGAAGTAACCAAACTTTATTCCATGCAACGCTTCTGACTATGGTTATGACAAAAAGCTTAACTTCTTTCTCAACTTGCTCTTCACTTAGCATGGCTTGGCAGGCCACTAGAGAGTTATTTTACACATTCTTGGCAGGACTCAGCCTCACTGTCTCAAGCAGAGGCCCTGCCCTCTTTGTGGTGTCCAGTGAGCTGCACAGAGGGCATTTGGCATTTGGCCCTGCTGCCGGTGCCTTGTGGTGTGAAGTGTCCAGCAAGGGACACTTTTCTCTCCTGTTCACTTGTGGCTAGCCCAGAACTGGAAGCCCATTCCATTCCTGGGAGCCCATCCTACACCTGGGAACCCTGCCCACGGGCTCTGCAGGCTGCACTCAGAGCTTCCCAAATTTCTGTCTGTCACCTGAAACATCTGCTGGATCAGAGACACCGGAGAATTCCGTGTTCTGTCACACTGGAAATGGAGTGGGATACAGAGCTGACTGCAGATAGCTCCAGGTGGCAACTGTGAATATATTTTTGCATCTGATATCAGCAAGGGGAATCATGAGATCTTGCATATGATTTGGGAATGGGATTTTTTTGCAAAGGACTTTGTTATCAAACTAAATTAATTTTAATTTGCATATTTCACTATAGAAGGACTGAAATTCAGGCAAGCTTAACTTATACATAAAATATGTGACTATAAAAATTATTTAGCATGAAAAATTAAGATGATGAATAGCACTGACCATTACATGAAAAGCTAATCTCAATGTCCTGTGAGTTGTAGCTTCTTAATGAAAAGGCACTTGATGTATTTTAAACAAGGACTCCAAACAAGCCCAGTGAACTTGTAGAGTTCATCACCACAATGGATACAGGAGCAGGGGCTTACTCTTCCCTCGTTTTCCCTGTATTAAGCCAGTGCAGCCAGACTGGAATTTCCTGCTGTTAAAAGATCACCAGAAAGTCTCCAGAAGGCAATTTACACCAGGCATGTTTGATACAGGTCCACTGGCTGCCATGGAACTATTCCAGACTGACCTTAGAGTTACTATCTTTGGAGAGGTTTATAAAAGACTTTAATAATTTTATAGCAAATTATCAGAACCATAGGTTCTTCACACACATGTGTTAGGCAGACAATTCCTATGCTGCAGGGGAAAGGATGCATGATTTTTTCAGTGTTGCACTCAGCTTTTTTGTTAGAATTATGGTCATGGCAAGTCCTAGAGGGCTGACAGAGGAGATGGCCCCATCACACAACCCCAGTTTTCTTGTTTAAAAATGAATTACTGTAACACACTTTTTTCATCTGTTTCCACAGTAAATCACCAGGGACCAATGCCTCAGCTACCAATCATCAGAATATCCAGTTACAAGAATGTCTAATTAATGGGGAGAACCAGTAAAACAAAGAGGAATCTTTATAAAACAGGCTGGAAAAGAAATTAACTATAGACCCCATATCTGCTAGTAAGAAAAAAAAACATTCAAGAGCTCTGATTTTGCATCTTGCAGCTGCACAGCACTCCCACATACTACCCGTGTCAAGCTGGCTCCAATATTGGAGACAGTGTGTGGAAAAGGAAATAATCAACACCATTTCAGCAGAGAAATAAATTGCCAAGTGGGCATTAAAATTTTAGTAATAAAACTAAATGCATATGCTAATCCACTCTGTATTATTTAGAAAAGACTATTTTGGATCAAGAAAGGAATAATCTGCACAAAATTACAATGAATGGAGGTGTTTATCATCAAGAGGTCTTTGAGAAAGAAACAAGCAGTAGATTCCTATTAAGGTTTCAATTCATAAAAAGTTGATCACCCAATTAAAGGTGAACTGTGAAGAGACTTTGTTAATTTTATTTCAAAAATGAGTCTGGTGTGACAAAACCCAGTGCTGCCAGGCATGTGACCTCTGGGGGCTGGCTTGGTGCAGAAAACTGCAGTACTGAATGTTGGAGCAGGTCCTTTGTGTTCTTCTACTTCTACAATAGAGATTTTTCTTCTTTCTCTTATTAATACAGAGAATTAAAAGGATAGCTTGTCGTGGCAGCAGCACTGGATCATTTGAAAGCTAATGTTATCTTACAATGTTGATTTGTGTTTACATTTTGAACAAGATGTTGCACACCCTTGCTCAGTTAAACTGAAATAAAATAAATGAAACAACTTAGCAAAAAAATGCTACATACTCAAAGAATATTTAAAAAACAACAAAAAAAGTAATTTAACTTTTTTTCCCCTACAAAATCAATTCATTATGCAGAAATATTTTTTCACACATCTGCAGTTTTAAACCTGTGGGTATCTCCACTAGTTTTAACACAGTTTTTCCATTTACTTAACAGTCAGTGAAAGCTTATAGGCCTTGGTGGATGTGAACAAAAAGGTCCTAAGGAGATAATCACACAAAACTGTTTATTAAACTGCTGAAATCATAATCATCAATATAAGGCTTGAATTCTTGTAATGTCCTGTGCAGGCCATATATTTTTACATAGCCATCTCTATTTTTCTCCTTTATAAAAGGTATTATTGAAATCTTGGAAGTAATCCCTGAATTTATCTCTGAAAGAGAGCAGAAGTTTATTTTAGCTCCTTTGTCAAATGGGCTAAAAGGATAGAAAAAAATACAGAGAATAGGGGTGGAGGGGCAGGGAAAGATTTTGAGCTTTTTTATCTGTGTATGGTAAGTGCATAAAATCTAATCAAAGACTGCAAAATTGTTCAGAAATAATCTTTAAATCCAATATGCCCTCCACTGAATTTGTACATGGAATTGTAGTGTTCGGGCCTCTTGTTATAAGGAAATGCTACCTGGGAGATGAACTGGTTCCTCTCTCCATTCAGAACTGCAGATGCAAAACATAGTTCTCTCTTTTAAAGTCTGTCCTGATCAGAGTTACAAAATGATTATTATAACTACAGCCATTAAAATTATAAGGGTTTGGAACCATAACTTTCTGCAAGTCTGGAGGCTCCTGAAACTCTGACACAGCAAGACAACTCCAACAAAACCTGCTGGATCTGACCAAAACCTGAGCACTACAAGACCTGACCCATGCCCATATGCTGGACTTCAGATCAGGACCTTCAAGCCTCTCTCAGATATCACTTCTTGCACATGATTGAAATCAAGCCTCCAAATCTTAACTTTTCTTCCCCCTTCATTTTGTCGCCTAGACTTCACTGACATCAGGGACTTTGACCAAACTTTGGAAACTCAAATTTTTTTATGTTTTGCATTGTGATTCTCAGCATCTTGACTCAATCGATTTGTTCTCAGCTTTCCAAAATCCTTGTTTTTTTATTTGTTTTCAAGAAGTTGTAAGTTCAGTCTAGCCTTTACAAGGACAATATATTTTTGTTGCCTATTTTTCTCCTAAGAATCCAAACTTTTGGAGTGTGCTCTTCATAGGAACAAAGATTCCCCATATAAATTCCTCAGGGTCCAGGAAACACCATTGTGTATGGAATCACCTACCTTAAAAAAATCTGAACTATTATATGACTTAGGTGGGTTGTTAGCAGTTTATTTATTACATGCTCCAGCTCCACTGTACCTTTCACTGTTACGTGGGCTAACTCTCTCCTTAACCAAGCTTCACTGGCAAGAAACCATTTTTCAACATTTTTCTCAAGGTCAGTTGAAAAGTATGGATTACTTCTCAGCTTCACAGCTTGCTTGTTCTGTACTTTAAAAGTTTTGGCTCAGCTCAGCATTGTAGTCAAATTATCTGGAGATTCCCTGCATGCTCTGTAAAGCGTCTTTGTTCAGTAGGTATTTCTCCAACCTTAACTTTATTATCAGGGTGAATGGTTTTACCTAAAATAAAACCCCAAATCACTAAAAGTCATGATATTTTTGCATTCTGGAAACTGGTCTTTCCTATGCCTGCAGAGTGGTTTGTCTCAGCTCTGACCATACAGGTGAATTATTATTACAGGTGATATTCCTTACAACCAGGGAACAGAGCCAGAGTTTGGCTGATTATAGAAATATTCCATATTAGTGTGAGCCAGAGTTTTGCACTCAGTCTATGCCCCACTCCTGTTTTTTTCCAGATGTTGTCCTAGAAACAAAGGAACAAAGGACATTAAAGGACATTTTCTTTTTTTCCTTTTTTTAATAATACTGCCTGAAAGCCATCTTTTGAAGATTTTGAGTGTCTTCTAGTGCCACTATATGTAAGGCCAGGGGTTGTCTTTATTAATGCCTTTAATTTGGAAATTCCTTTCCCACATTTACAACTTAGTATGTCAATTTTGTATACTAAATTAAAAGATACTTGCACAGATTTCATATATGAAATGAACTGTCATGTAACATTCGTGTGCAAAGGGACCTCTGGACACCTTTGTTATCTTTGTTGGTGGTATTTTTGTAATGACTCGGGCTTGTATTGTTGAAAGTTAATCTTTTATGATATTTCTCCTCCCTTACATTTGCATTTTTGTCTAATCACATTTTCAGGTCCTCAGATGTTTTTTTCAAATTCCTTACTGGTTTTCTCTTTACTCAACATCACCAGTTCAAGCAGGACAGTTTCTTCCAGTGATTGGCTCTCCCTGTGAAAAGTCAAGAATGACCTTTAAGCCTAAAGGAAATCTTTGAAAGCAAAACCTCTTGTCCAGTGGTCTAAAAATGCAATGTGTTAAATACCTTGTCAGACATAACAAAGTTTGCTTCCAGCAGAACAATCTGGATTTTTAATTTTTGTAAAAAACTACCGATACCTGCAAAAATGTATGCAGCCCTTTTATCTGAAAATATCCCTTACAGTGGCTGTCCTGAAACAGATACTTGGTCCCAAAAACAGTCTCAGTCACTTGTCTGTTCATCTTGCTGTTTCTAACTGGCTCATTTTCAAACTTCCCACTATTACTCCTTGTCCTGGGGTGACTTTATGATACTGGTATCCCCCAATCGTCTGGTTTATGTTATATATTAAGTTCTGCACCTTTAAGACTGGCTTTGAGAGCAAGAGAGGGAGAAGAAGAAGCCGCAGCTTGTGTTAAAGAAAAACATCACTCCCACACATCCCGCTCCTGGACTGTGGTGTCTGCAGCACGGACAGAAAGAGGGACAGAGCTTCTCTCTGGCTTTTAGTTAGTTTTAGCTAGCTGAGGCAGAGGAGTTCCCTGGACCATTTTTTTTTGTTCCCTTTTTCTTGGATCTGTGCAAACCTGCTCTGGACTGAACACCCAGCCAAACCCCAGGAGCTCACGCCTGTGGCCCACTGGGACCTGGGCCTGGGCACTTTCCAGTGCCGAAAGGACTGATAAGAACCTGAGTGAGCTGAGCTACACCACATGAAAAGGGCTTTTCTTCCTAGACTTGCCATCCCATCGAACAGTGAGAGGTTTTATTATTTAATATTATTCAATTTCTGTTAAATGAACAGCTTTTTCCACTTCTCTCCAAGGCATTTTTTTTTCCTTTCCCAGACCAGTTCGGGGGGGGGAAGGGTCATTTGAATTTTTTTTTTCCTCCCTGGAGAAACCCCCATTTGGAGGTTTTCTCCCAAATTTGCCCTAAACTAAGACACTCCTAAAGAATCCAGCTCCTTTAAGGTCTTCTCTCTCACAACCAGAAGGATGCTCCTAGCAGCACACACTGCTGCAAAAATACAGCTCTGCATTCTGTGTCTCCTTTTTCTCTGACAGTAAAGATTTTTGGGTGCTGATCTCCTGTGTTTATGGATCCTTCCTCAACTCAATGCTTTAAACAAGCCCAGGGATAGGCATATCTAAAAAAAACAAATACAAATTCTTTCTGCCTATAAATTTAAACTTCCCTGTTTATCTTTTTCAAATTAAGATAATTTGATCCTTTGATACAAATCAGACTCTTGCTAGACACCCTCAGTTTCAGTAGTCTTTCCTCTACATGGAGAGATCCCTGGGCCACATATTTTGCAGTGTGTTTGGAGGTAGCAGTGACTGAGCACCAGTTTTTAATTTAGAGGTTGGCTATTCTTAGTCTGCAGCCCACTTTTGAAGATTTTGCATAGCATTTCTTTGTGATATTTTGTTGTACTACATGTTTGCGCACCATCACATAGATCTGGGGATATGAAGGGTATTCTCTTTTGCCTCTGCTTTTCCAGTTGCAAGGTCCTGCAAAATAACTGTATTTCCTATAGCTGCTGCAGAATTTCTAAACTCTTGAACATAATGTGAACCTATACATTTTCACATATTTCACTTTGGCAGCTTACAGATAGCTCTGAAGAGTCTTAAATTTTTTCTTATTTCCTTTCCTAACAGACAGCATGTCCTCCCCTTCTAGTATTTCCATATTGTCTAACTGTCCTAGCTTGACCAAACAGATTTTTTAGGTGGTCTTTTTTGTTGTTGTTGTTTTTTTTTTGTTTTGTTTTGTTTTTGTTTTGGTTTGGTTTTTTGTTTTGGTTTGGTTTTTGTTTTTTGGTTTTTTTTAATCCTACTTTCCTGGAATCTTTTCTGCATCTTTGGATCTTTGATTTGATACTTTAAAATGGAATCTCTGAAATGCCATACCTACTTGACTGATCTGTTATTTTAAGATCAGCCAAAAATTCTTCAAAGGATTCCTCCCTCTGCATTCTTATATGAAATCTGTGTCTTTCAAAAGTTCAAGTTTCCTTGTGAGTGCAATATTCCTTCAACTTACTTTCTGTAACTGCATGGATTGCCCTCTCACCCTGGCTTGGTTTCATGCCATTAAAAACTTTGATAGCTCCTACTCCTGCAATATTCCAGAAAATAGTTGTGAGCTTCCTTATGATTAATCTGGGCACTGTATATAAGTTCCAAGGCATGATGTGAGGCTTTTCAAGGAAACTGCAATAATGCCCGTGTGATTTAGAGGCTCTAAAAGCCCCTACAGAGCTATCACTTTTTCTCTCACTTTCAAATCTCTCTTTTTCTGCTTAATTCCTTCCTCTCTTTCACATCCTTCTCCTGATACCATGTGGCACTGGGCTTACACTCACAGCAAGACTCGTATTGGAAAGAGTATGGAAAAGCTCTGCAGAGGGTGCACAGCAATCATGGTGCACTTACATTTCTTTCCTGCTGGCTTTGCTCTCCTCAATCTCCAGGTTCCTAATTACTGACTAACCAGATCAGACTCGCTCAGCCTGCTCTTAGACACCAGACCCTAGAGATACAACAGCTGCTAATTACTCTCCGAGTTTCAACTTTTATTATGTTCAGAAGCCTGCAGACTTTCCAGCAGAGAAACAAATCTAAAATCTCCTGTCAGAGCGGGGTTTGTTTGCTTTTTCAGAGCTGACATGCCACAGCTTAAATCCCACAGCTTTACAGCAATGGACAGTGGAGGAGGAAGATGGGGACTGAGGCCCAGCAAGGGACCAGGAAAATCACACCAAGGAGGCAGGACAGCAACTTAAAAACCAAAGCCAGCTGACCTCCCTACAGGACAATTTGTAATTTCAGCCAGACATTGATCTCTGCCAGCCCCAAAGTCTATTCAGCACAGCCTTCCATCTTGCATGGGAGGGCTTTGAAGGGTTGATATGGTCCACACTGTAGCCTCATTTCAGGAAAATTCAGCAACCCTTTTTCAACTATATTTATTTTCAGTGCCACTCTTCATCACTGCTGTCATCTTCCACTTAAATCTTCACAGAATCACAGAATAATCCCAAAGAAAGCAGAGGCTGAATTTTTGAGATTCGTATTTTTGGAAAATTGAAGCATTCAACATTTTTTGGTCTAATAAAAGATTTCCAGGTGGTAATTATTCCACTCACAGCAATAAATATCTACATGAAGAGAATAAGGATTTAAACCATAGATCAAGCTGCAATGCCAAAAAAATAATATTTTCTTGCAAATGTTTCATATTTTTTCTTGGAGAGCTGCAGAACCTCTGCACACTGTTCAATGTCTGTTTCTAATTTGGGCAATTTGTTCCAAAAGCAAAAGGGGGAAAAAAAAGAGTGCAAGGCAGTGTGTTTTGAATTGTAAGATGCCCAGAGCTTTTGTCTGCCTCACAGGGTGTGATCACAGGGCCCTGAAACTGCTCCAAAGCTGGTAGGCTGAGGTTCACAGCCCTTCCAGGAAGCTAGGAGTAAGGACACAGGCTGGATACAGCCACTGGGCAAGGAAAAACACGAGGGCTTGTGTGATCTCACGGAAGGGGGAGCCGGTACTGCTGCCAGTGCTGCTGAAGTGGGCCCTGTAAACAGCAGGTCCACACTGCAGGCAAATATCTTCTCCCAGCGAAAATGTGAAAGGTGAAAAGAATCTCTTTCCCAGCACACTGGGAAGGAAGTGTGTATTGAGGCCCATGTGGAACACTCTGGCTTGGTTTTGCAGCCACTGCATTGTTTTTTCTCACCAAGAGCTGATCTCCTTACGTCGGCCATACAGTCAGAGGGATGGTCCCTACCTCTGCTTCTCGTATCTCAGCTTTCTGGGGAGGTTCTGGAGAAGAAGACTGACACTGGGCTGGGTTCCTGCCTTCAAAGCCTCCACACACATGGATTTTTTCATCTACTGTACAATGACTCCAGCTCTAGAGTCATTTATGGTTTTCCAGAGCCTTACTTGAAATCTGAGAAGTTCAGCGGTCTGGATTCAACTTCTCTTGCACATCCAGATGTCCAAGAGAGAAAACCAGACAGGTACTGCTAACACAGGACTACTCCCACTATCCAGGAGGCAAGTGAGGAAGTGTGGGAGGCAAAAAGAGAATATTCAGCAAAACTGAAAGATGGCAATAATCAATAATAAAACTTACTTTTGCAGACCATGAGTAATTAAATAGTGAACTCAGTCCCAGACAAAGCTGCAGATGACAAATTTCAAAATATTAGAATCAGAACTGGGTGTCCAATGCATGAAAATCAAGAAAAGCAGAATCTAACAATTAATTAGAATGCAATTTTGGAAAGGGTTATTAAAGTCCCTTCTGCAAACTGTCGGCACTCAAGATGAGGGACCCCTCAGTGCAGCAGTCAGAATATTCCACGTCCACTTATTGGAACACTGCTCTATCTCAACCAGGAGCATCTGACTCCAGCTGGTAGCACATAACTGCATGGAGTTCTATGTGACCCAGTCTCCAATTTCTGTTTCTCCAAATAAAGGCTGAGCAATGTGTATCTGTGAGTGTTGTTGCCGTTCCGACCATGGTTGTTGTGACAATAGGTTCACAACAGTAAATAATATGGAAGGGTGCAGACCTGCCAGCATCACACATCCATGACTATTTTTTTTTTTACCTGGCATGTCTTCTCCATTGATTTAATTACTCTCCAGCTGCTTCAGGAGGAGTATTTGTATCTTTGACCCACACTGTGTAATTTCTGCTTGCAGCACACAGCATCTTCCTGACTTGCAGAGCTGCTTCTTATTTATAGCACTGGAGGCAGGGCTGCCTCACACTTGGCATTGCACTACCAGAAAGAAATAGAAGGTTCCTGACCAGAAGAGTCATCCAAGTCAGACTAGAGATAACGGGGTGGCATCAAAAATGGAGTGGAAAAGCCTAGAATGAGGCAGTTTCACATCCAGTGCAATAATAAACAATGCCTCTGCAACACAGCAGCTGCCTCACCATCTCTGCTTTGCATTATACAATTCCTTACAGGTGGAACTCTCGTTGATACCTGCGGGTGTCATAAGTGCAGTTTACACCAGAGAGCTGCAATGCAGGTGGGAGAGACGTGATGCTAAAAAAATAGGAGAGTCTTGCTCTTATTCTTTCAGGGTATTTGGAACACTGAGAAACAGAATTTAAAAAAGCAGGTAAAAAGGCAAAAGCCTTAGCTTACAGGCTTCTGTCTCTCTTTTGTGGGGCAGTTGTGAGTTGATTTCCACAGCTGCCTCTTTTTCTGCAAGACAAGGCTGCTCTTCTCTGTTTATGAGTGTATCAACTTTACCAACAACATCATCGGGAATTATCATTCTTATAAACAATAATTTACTAGTTTCCACAACTTCCAGACTCTTTTCAGGCACAAAAGAAAGCAAATCTGTGCTCCTGGGGATGTATTTTTACATGGGTTTTGCTCCTGAGGGTTTATACTCCTAAATAAAAAATATAATACATTTCAGGAGAAGAGTGAAAGCACTAGCAAGAAACATGATAAGCATCCAGGTGGTGTTTATCCACAGAAATATGAAGTTTTAACAGCACTGTGGTAGGGCAGAGGATTCTCCTGCTGCCTCAATCTGCTGGCAGGTGCAGAAATCTTACAGAAGCAGGAGCAGCAGGCTAATCACTGCTGACTCACTGGGGCAAGCACGGATCATTAGACTCCACTGCAAGCAGGATATCATTTTGTCATTTGTCTGTCAAATGCTCTTTGCAGGAGCAGTGACCTCTTAACTGTGAGTGTTGATTTTGTTTCAGACAGAGACTCAGAGATGAGATGCTAGTTTCTGTCACATGGAGCCAGGGTCCGTCCTTGTCAAGGCTGGTTGTGTTGCACTCCGGAGCCATTTCCTAGCAATTTAAGGAGCTGCTAGACGTATGTGAAGCTGAGTGTGACCCGTCACTCATCCAAGGGACATGGAATGAGATGGGAGCACAGTGTCCTACACACCCAGTCCAGCTGCAAGGAAAGACCCTGGTGAGCATAACCAGGTCCAAGTCAAGGTTGTCTGAAGCAGTCTGGTGGGGAGGGACATGCACATGCTCTTCTCCTTTGGTCTGAGCGGATAGCAGTGTTAGGACTGGAACCATGAGCTGACACAAATCAACAGGCCAGAGAGTGTCCTAGGCACAGGGGTCACCTGGCACATCTCTGCCACTGAACCTTCTCAGCCACCCAAAGCGAGCAGCTGACTCCAAGCTGCCCAGGAGGAGCTGTGCTTGAGGCATTCTTGCTCCCGAGCAGCGCTGGGAGGGAGGAGGGAAACCATTAGCTGTCACAAGTAAAAGATTTGGCAGTCCAGCAGCAGTCTGGGAATGTTTCTGGACATTCTGCTTTGCCACTAGAGATGCTGCCACAAGGTCTGTGTAGCAAAAGATACAACCCATGGAGAACACCTGTGAAAGATGCCTCCCAGTGCACACAAGCTAGGCTCATCTCCATCAAGTCAAGGGAGTAGCACTATGAATAAGCTTGGTCCAGCACCCTCCAGAACTCTTTTTCAAAGCCTTTTTTTTAGTAACATTGTATTTGTATTGCTCACAGTGTCATCTTGACAAACTAAAACACAAACACTGCAAGGTAAATGCTAAGCTCATAAATAACTTACTTGATCTGATTTGTAATTTCTTTTACATGCAGAGCTTTATTTTCTGCTATTCCTGCTGCTCTTTCAGCTTTGAATGATTCTTTTGTTTATTATTCTAATAATAAGCAAAATTAATGTTTGTAAATGTGCAAGACTGTCGTCTGTGATGTGTTGGCTGAGCCTGTGCCAGTCGATGGAGACTCCATCCCCAGCTTCTTAAAAATTCTCGGTGAGTTAGTTATCCTTTTTCATCTGTATCATACCTTGAAAACGAAATGCTCTTTTAAAATATTCATGTGCTCCCCATAGAAAGGCATTACAAATGTCCTTAACTGACTTAACAGCTTAGCTCTCACTGACTTCCCTTCCTTACCGAGGTGCCATACCACACTGAAAATGAATGAGTGACTTTACACAAGGTTCAAAAGATGGGAATTACGCATTGTAATCACAGAGTCACTTCTAAAAACACTATCCTGAGGAGAAAATTGCCAGGAGTATTCTCCAGTTCTCAGTGCTGCAGTCTTTCAGAGTCTGGTTTGAGATACAGGTCTCCAAAAAATCCATTCTCAAGTGTCTCAAAGTGGTCACAAAAGATGCTCAGAATTGCAATTGTCCTTCAGAAACATAGGTTTAGCTTCATAAACACTTTTCATATTTTCTGAGGTATAAATCCTTCCATAGGCTATATCCTCTGGAGTTTCTCCCCCTGCCAGTGCCCTGATGCATGGCAATGCCTAATATAGCCTCAGCTTCAGTCTAATTCCCTTATTCAAGTTACAGACACATCAGGCACATAAGAGATTTTAGTTATTCTCTAAGAGGAGTGCTGATCGGGGTGAAGTTATGCAGCAGATAACTGCATGAAAAGGACACTCTTTAACATGCCACAGGAATAAGAAATAAGAATGGGAAGTAAAATCTCATGGAGTAGAAAATAGTTCATAAATAAATCAATGCTAAGGAAAATCTATATAATTAATGCAGTTTATAACCAATATGCAATACACTGAGATTATATATATTAGTGTGATCACTTTTCAAAATAGACCTGAAATAAAGGTAGCTTTTTATATAATGCCACATTCAACTGACATCTATCCCACTGTAAACACAGTTTACAGCACAGCTCCTCTTTGTTGAAGGCAGACAAGCTCCCCCCATTGCACAACGAATTACTTGTCTATAAAAGCATCTCATGGTATTACTTGAAATTTTTACACAGCACGTGACGCTGCTCTTGGCTGCACCGCAGCTCCGGGCTAGCTCTACGGTGCTACTCCAGCACAGGCAGTCGCCAGGAGTGGGGAACGAGGGGGAAAGGTGATCCCACTGCAGAACCTTCAGAGCACCGAATCCTGCCAGGCTCAGAGCACCGAATCCTGCCAGGCTCTGCCAAATCAGGCGTCGTGGGTGATGGCAAAAGGAAGGAGGAGACTCACTCGGCTGTACTGCCCAGGAACAGGTTTATTGGGGAGAGGGGATGAACACAACGGTCTGGGCTGGGAGAAAACAGGACCAAAGAGAGCCCCAAGCACCTCTGTGCACTAGGTTTTACCTCAGGGGCGGTCACAGTCCAGGGTCCAATGGGAGCTCACGGAGGGAGGGGTAAGGGGAGGAGGTTACAATGTCAGGGACCAATGGGGATACAAAGAAGGCGGGAACATAACATAACCACCAATAATATGTCGAGGAAGGGATGATATACATGGAAGGAGCTGGAAGGAGAGGTGGGGTTTACGATGATGGATGGGGAGATGGGGCAGGGTAAAGGTGATTGATGGGGAACATTCAGGAAAACTGGGAGGGCTTTACATAACAGACAACTGGGGCCAAACCAATGCTATCAACAGGGGGAAACAAGAACATACTATCAAGTTTTTAACAAATTCATAACAAAATTAAATAAACGAAATACAACAAGCATGAAATTGCCTTGCTTTCTTTTGTTAAGTATTTGGTATGTGGCGTTTTTCTTTTGACTGTGTTGCTTTTATTGCGGTTGAAAATATTGGAAGTAAATGTAGTGCTCTGAAAATAAGAAGTTGTGCCTTCATACAGGTGTGCAACATGGACTGTCCATGACCTCCTGGATGGAAGCTCTGTTTGCAGTTCTCACCTGACCTGAGATATCTGAAACTGACTTTAACCCAGGACACTCTGAGCTGAGCATTTGTGTGTATAAGAAAAATTGCTGGAAAAGAGGCTAATTTAAGCAGTGTCCTACGGTGCCATCTGAGAAGAAAATGCATGTTCAGTTAAAGAGATCAGAAATACCAAAGCCAAGAGGAAGTTATATCTTTGAATTAATTGGAAACTGATGGATCTAACTGAACTTAGTATGATGAGACATAGCCTCCTATAACACAGTTGCATGTAATGAAGTCACAATCATAGCAAAAGATTTCTTGTGCAGTGTAATCTATTGTCATTTACTGCACTACCGAAGGCTCTGTAATCCTATAAAAGATGCATTATTGCAAGACCTAATAATATAGAGTTGCTATACCTTGCCCAAAGCTGCTTCAATCCTTCCAGGGCGATTGGAATGCCAAATGGGAACAAGAACTTCCTCACGTCCCTTGGCTGTATAATGCCATTTCCTTCACTGCCAAACCCTTGAAAATTCTGGAATGCAAAAGAAATCATCACTAACAAGAACCAACAAGTTTGACAAAATGTCTGATCTATCTACAAGCTGAATAAATAATGGAAATTGAGAAAGAAGCAGAAAATAACAGAATAATAGAATAATAGAATACTTTAGGTCAGAAGGCACTTTCAAAAGCTATCAAGTTCAATCCCTGCAATGAACAGGGACATCTTCAAGTACATCAGGTAATGGACTGGAAAATTACAGACCTGTAGATTTTCTCTCCAATTCATTCTATATCTAATACTAATTAGATTTTGGTCCAGGTTTAGGTTGATTGCTTGGGTTTGTTGGTGGTTTTACCAGTCAATTTGTAAACTGAGATTACCAGTACTACTGTTGAATGCACACAGTTAGTTAAAAAATCATATTCATTTTTTTTCTTCTGCTGATTATTCGTTGACCAAATATTTCAAGAAGTTTAAGAAGATGGGAATATTTTTATAGGATAGATTTAAGACAGTCTTTTTGCATGGTGTAAGCATTACCCTCAATGGCTCTTTGTGATGGGAAGCACTGAGTGCCAGCAGAGCAGAAAGCTGTGTTTGTGTACAGCCTTAGTGGTCAGGCCTCAGGTGTAGCCCATTACTCCTCTTACAACAGACACATTGAATAAAATAAACAAGAGTAGAATGTGAAGAAAGTTTTAGAGATAACCATAATAGCATCTAAAATGTAATGAATGTTGCAAAAATTGCATATTATTTAGACAGTGGATTTCTTTCTTAATTACAGAGTAACTTTTTATCATTAATGAGCTTTTTTGCATGGGTCTCTTTGAATATTTATAGAATCTGAAGATCAACATTGCATGATGTACTGAAATCTATTAGTGCTGCTTATTTATTTAAAGAAAACATTCTTCTTACCCTTACTAGGTCATACCATCTGGTTCTTGCTTTGATAACAAGATAGTAATGAGCGTGATCACAAGCTAGCTCTGCATCCGTTATCATCTGCTTTTTTCACAGAGAAGAAAAAAATAAAATAACAGCTATGTTTTACGTTAGTGGGAGCTTTAATCTCCACGAGTTTACTTCTCTTTTGTTGTTCTTCACGGTGGTAGTGGTTTTGTTTTTGTCATTTCTAAGATACACATTAAAGATTGTTACTTCACATCTGTGTAAACTTAATTATTTCAATATTGCCTTATTTCCCTGGCTGCAGGTTAGTGAAGATGTTTTAAATTTTGTAATTCCCTATTTATTTTCAAATAAATGCTGTTCAATTCTTCCTCAAACTCAAGATCCAGCCTGGATCATTTATACACATGGAAGGATATGTTAATTATCTCAGAAACAATTATATCCTGGAGTGACTCCAGGAAGATTATCCTTGCTTTACATCAATTATGTAAACCGAAACTATCTCTGTGAGTCACCAAGGCATGGCTAGAAATGGGGAATAAGGCAAAAAACATTTGCAAATTCATCCACCATCGCAAGTGCCTTAATTTTGGGAGCTGGCACTTCTGACTAAATCCAAGCATGCAGAGGAATACGGGAGACTCAGGTGAGGTTGTAACACTGCACAGAAACCTGACTAAATCCATGTGCTGCACAAGGGCTGCCACACCTGAGAAGCACTTCTTGAAAGAAGAGTCCATAAACATAAATCATTGACCAACATAATAGTATGAAAACTGAACTGTGAAAATGCAAATGATCTTCAGGCTTCCCAGCACTGTGTTTTTGTTCGGTGTATTGTTGTTCATTATATTTGATTCAATTACCTTCTGTATTGTTAAGTTGTACACCACCGCCCCCTCCCAGTTAATAGTTAGCTTGTACCCTCCTACCCCAGTTGCCAATCCACCCTGATACCTGCCCCTTGTTCCCGAATGTTCCCTGTTCCCCCTCCCATTAAGTTGTCAATCCTCCCTTGTGCCAACCCCCTGCCTGGACTGCCCCTTTGGAATTCCCCTATTCCCCCAAGCCCCATTGGCCCATGTGCCCCACTCTCCTTTCCTTGTGTTTACCTTTGGTTTATGTATTGTGTAACCCCTCCTTGTGCTCCTCCCCTAAGTCTTCCCTATTGGTTTATTATTTGTACACTCCCCTTGCTCCTTCCCCGTATATAAGTTGCTGTAGCCCTGAAGCTTTTTGTCTTTCCTTCCTGGAGCCTTTAGAGGAATAAATCCCTTTTGGAAGCTGAATGGAAGACCTCTCCCTCATCCTTGCTAATGCCCTCAATGCTGGACAGCCTGTGCTGTAGAGCATAAGCCCTAAGCTGCCCTGCTTTCCAGGAGCAGCCCACTCTTGGCTTGGTGCTGGGAGCTGGCTGGGGAAAAATCTGGCACTGGTCATGTTTTCTTTGTTAAGCTTCTGAATCAGCAAGAAAATTTGAAATAGGGAAGTTATGGAGCTATCATCAAAATATTTCAATCTCTAGATGAGTATAAACTGAAACAGAAATGACAGCACAATAGTAATTAGTAATCTCAAATTCCAACTGGTAGCAAGATTCAATCATTTCAGGAGTTCATGTTGGATAATAGGAAAAATTTCATAGCTGAAAAGGTGGTTAAGCATTGGAACAGGTTTCACATGGAAGTGTTAGACTCACTGTCTTTTGAAATGTTAAAAGAATGAATAAATATAGTAGCACTTCATGATATGGTTTAGCTGCCATGGTGGTGTTGGGTCAGAGGTTGGATTCAATGATTTTGGAGGTTTTTTCCCAGCATTAATAATTCTGTGAACATCAGTTTCCTTTCTTGTTTTAGACTGATGTCCTTAATTCACTCAGTTGTCCTATTCAGGAAAAAAGAAAAACAAACCAAGCAGATAAATATTACTACCATCAGAGCCAACAGCAATGCTGTAAGAGACAAATAAAAACTGGGAAATTAGCCTATGTGTATATATCACATCATCACTGCCACAGCAGAGATGAGTTGCTGATCAGGAGCTTTTTCCTGTTTTATCTTGTCATTATTTTTTATAAATTTGTCTTTCTTTGCATAGCTAAACAGAGTTTCACACTGAGCCTTTAGAATAGTTTTTTTTATGGCTTAAATTTCATTTATCATTGATTTTATACTCAAACCTTAAAATTCTGGACATTTTAAGCAGTATCTCTTCTCACAGGAATGGAAGATGTGGGTCTACTCTCTTTATCCTCCAGCCACTCTGTGGGGCCTCAGCACATGTCTCCTGATCTTGTCTGCTCCTTGTGTTCTGCTGGCTTAAAACTCTGAAGCATGAGGCTCTGCTGTTCTGAAATACTCTGATAGCAATGTTAGTGCCAGAACTGGCAGACACTGTCTCAGACAGGTAATACCCTGCTTTCACTTCCCTCCAGAAGGACAGCTGATTCCCAAACTGTGTCCCCAGCCCTGCGTGCTTGCAAGATGCAGCAAAATTGTCCAGTTTGGAGACTCGCTCAGCTCTAAAGCTTCAACTCAGGCACCAGTTTGTATGTTTAACCTCACAGATTAAAGCAGCCACCAGAGGTAGTTCTGGCATTTTAATCCAGACTCAATGGATTCAATGTGTAATCAAATGCAGCCAAAAATCACTAATAACTTGGTAGAGCTCCCCACTTAAGCTTGATAAAGATGTATTTTAATACCACATCTTCATTTATACCCACTACAAGTGTTCACGCTGTATATTCATTTCTGTAAACACAGCAGGTTACTGTAGGTGCTGTGCAACTTTTTCTTGCTTATTTGTGAGATGGCAAGAGCCAAGGAAGTACTTCCTTGGCTGCTTGGGTGTGAAACAGTTGACAGAATTCTTGCTAATGTAACATGAAGGTCAGGTTCTTTCCCAACAAACCCAGTGAGTACAAGAATTCCTCAAGGCAAGCAAAAAGCTGTTCAGGACTTGCTGATACTGTCACCGTTACTGTCTGTTTCACAGAAGGCGGAATAGGTGTCCTAACAAGGAATATTTAACTAAATATATTAAACTAGATATATTTAACAGGTCTACTGCATATTTTTTAAATAAGTAACAAAGGTTTGCTTTTGACTTGTACTGACAACAGGCAAGTATTTTAATGCAGTTTTAAGAATCCAAAACATTTGTAGTTCTGCCTTACAGAAAATAATAACCAAATGAAGAAAGCTGGAAAATCAGCTCTTGATTAAGATCACAGTGCTGCAAATTTTGGGGACTAAGAATACCTTCTTGAAGAATCATTCTCATGAATAGATGGGCTGTTTCATGAATGAGTAGTTCATAGATATTCGTTGCTAATTGCAGAATACTTAATAGCTGTACTTAGAAAAGGATGGGAAAAAATAACCCAGAATGTATTTTCCTGGCAGAGACTGCAGAGAAAACAATTAAGAATAAATAAAAGGTTTTGCCTTGAAAACTGAATGTATTTGAACTGGAGGTTTCTGAGAACACAGAAGACTTGAAATCCAGCATAATATTTAGAGCCACCTTCCCAACAGCTCCTCCAAACCGACTTTCAAAACAAATCGTTAGATCAAAATAGCTACCAGCTTCACTGCCAAAAGCGTACCAAAACTCGATGTTATTTACCCCACAGACATCCATCAGTATATCATTAAGGTGATTGAGATATTCTTCATTAGTCATGCAGTGATATTTAGCATCTTTTGCTCTGTGGTTTGGGCTGTTACATAATGTAGCTCCTGGCCCGTTCAATCTCCCATCTGCAAGAATGAAATTGAAGTGTAGCAAATATTAAAAGTATATTAAAGATAAATAACACAGTAATAAAGCATAAACAAACCAAGAAATCCTGCAACTGGATTCTTTACAACACAACTTGACAAAGTCCAGCAGCTGTCTGAAGCATTAGCAGCATCCATCCAGTATGTTGTAATGGCCTCAGCAGCTGTAATTTCCACATCTCAAGATGAAGAAGGAAATCCCAAACTTAAGAAAAGCCTGCTCCAGTCTGCCGCGGCGACGGAGGGGCCAGAGGGCCGCGACTTCTCTAGCGAGGCGGCCCTGAACAGGTCTGGGCCGAAGCGTGTGTGAGCGGCTTCGGGCAGGCGAGTGATTCCAGCTCGGCTCAGCGGCAGCGGGCAGGCGACACGGCAAGCAGGGACGAGAAACCTGGTCCAGCATTCCGCTAAGCACAAACCTTTATTCAGGCAGAGCTTTGGCGAAGGGAGCTAATCTCCCGAACAGGAGAAAACCCGGGATATTTATAGGGGAGGAGAGGGGCGGGGGGAGCCTGAGTTACATGTATCGGGTTGGGACAGCAGGGGGGAACACCAATAGGGCACAGCAGTTTAACATATCTAACTCAAAGAGCCCTGGGAGTGATACATTGTCTCTCTCTGAGTGAAAGGTGTCTTGCCTCCAGGGGAGACCCCGGAACCAGGAGCCAGCGGGTTCCCCGGCCCCCACACAGTCTGAACACCAATTTGAGCTGTTTCAGGGGATTTGCCATCAAAGTCCCTTAATTTTACAGAGCATCACCCCTAAAACTCTGATGTTTTGGCAAGGATCAGTCCCACACAAGCAGCTTTGCATTGTCACAAATTTATTATCCCACAGCCCACCAGGATCAGCCACTTTCCCAGCAGGGCACTCATGTACTTCCAGTCCTGAAGGGCTAAGGTACATTTTAGGCCATAGAAAATCTGTTTTGGTGACTGTTGGAGATATGATTCCTTCTGCTCATCGTGCAGTGCTACTCTAGGAGCCTGTTTTGCCTTGCTTCCGTGGGAAAAAAGAGAAAAAGCATCTTGTGTAACCTCTTGAGCATTTTATGACTTTCCTGCAACATAGGAGTCACAAAGAGGAGTGAAGAAATTCATGACGTATTTTAAAATGGAAAAAACTTGCAAAGAAAAATGTACATGCTGACATTTCACTACACCCTACTCCTGACTGATAGACAAACCACTAAGATAATGGGTTTTTTAAAATTATAATAATACAATTAATAATTCTATTATTAATCTATAGTACAGATTATAATCTGTAATAAGATACCGTTATGTTATAACAAGATAATGGTAAAGGAACATTTCATTTATTTTTAGAAGATTTACATACAAGAGGCATACAAGAACCTGTACAACTGCTCAAAAAAATCACTAAATAGTTTTCATTGCATCATTTTAACTTCTCCTAATTTTACCCTTTAAACCCTGTTCACCCCTATAGACTTTCACTATCCTTTCTGTTTTTTAAAATATGAGTTTCTATTGAAATATAGTCAAGAACATTTGCACTTATGTTATCTTCCCACTAGAGATTATGAGAACAAGATCAGGTCTCTTTTTCTGTAACAACAGACCACACTCTACCCCAGTGAATCACAAATCATTGAAAAAGAAAAAAAGTTATGAGGATTTTTTTTCCTTTGCCTTCTGGTTTCTGAGACTTACTTTATATTAAATGTGGGTCACACTTCCTTTTACAACTATGCAATATAGTAACATATGGAAAGAAAAGCTGTGATTCTCATAATTGGCAAAAGCTTTAAATACAGACAAAACACTGTTGATCCTTGATTTATATCAAAGAGCTGGCACACTCATTTCCCCTGAGGTCAACTGTTTCAAAAATCTTTTATTATGCTATTGAATATAAAGGTGCAAATATTTTGGTGGATGTCTGATTAGCTGGCTACATTCACAAACAACATTCACAAACTTGTAAATTTCTAGGCCCGAATGAGGAAAAGACTGAATATTATGTCAGCCACCCACAAGTCAGCTCTTCCTCTTGTCTTACTCCTAAAGGAGAAATAATGACAGCAGAAAATAGTAGTAACAGCATGAAAAAAGTAAGTTCAGCCTCTGAGAAAAATTACAGAGGCACAATATGGAAGTTAAAACAAGGCCTTGAAACCAGTGACAAAATTGTCTTTGACTTCAGTGGTATCAGAATTTTTACCCAAAAATCAAACCTTGAGCATAAATTTGAATTATGAGGAAATAATTCAATGAGGAATAGATAATTACTTACTAGCTGTGGTCTACACTGAGGAATTGGCTCAGATTCCATGAACTTCATCTTTAAGGCCTGAAAAAGAAAACCCTTGACTACAGTGCCTTGAAATCAGTGGAATTACTGATGGGGTAAGGCAAGTAGCTGAGATGAGAAAAAAATGTGCTCCCAAACTATGAACATACTCTTCTTCTATACACTCCTTAACAACTGTCAATCAATAAAGACCACGTCCTTGTTATGTGGGTGGACAACACATCTGTACCTATAACAACAGCAAAACTTGCCTTATTATTGGGATTCTTATTGGAATTCTGGATACCCTGATAAAACCATCAATTGCATTATAGGCAATAGCATTTCAACATTCTCGTGTAACAACATTGCTTAACAGCTTAAACATCCCAAAGCAGTATTTTAAATTAAACCCAGGCTACACCACAGAGTTCTCACTGTATGTACTGCCTGTAAAACAGGGCATTAATGTCTTTCCTTAAAGGACTGGTTACTGTCTTCTGGCTTTTTACACAGAGTAGAAAAAGTTGCTGAACATAACTACTATAAGCTGTCGACTATAAGATATAATATAATTCCATGATTGTGAGTAAGAGTTTTAAAATGCTGAGGATGAGGATCTGCCCAAGGCAGAGCAATCAGTCATTTACTTTTTGCAATCTGTTAGTGGTGACAACTGCCACAGAAACTACCTGTGGATCTTAAGTCACATCCCACATGTTTCAGCCTCCCTCTTAGCCTGGTCAGCTGGATCAGGAGCCAAGAATACAGACAGTCTCATAAAAATCATATCATTGATCTCTTCCTAATTTCACTAATAGCCTTCACTTGAAATAGAAAAGTTCTAGATCTCTCAGGAAAGGTTTGTTTGTTAACTTTTATTTTTTTTAAACTTCCAATATTGCCACAAAATCCAGATAACCCTCCATCTGGTAACCCTAACTTCAATGAACTAACAGTAGATTAAATGGACTGTCATCCACTGGTATGCCATGATCATCCAACACATGTTAGATGAGAAATTAAGTCCTACAGCAGCCTTTTCTTTCCTTCTAAACATTCTGGTTTGTATAATAAGTATCTTGGTGTTTTATCCTATGGCTCAATTTTAAATTACACTGAAAATTATCTCCCTTCCTTGCATTGATAGTGAGCTATTTAAATAGAGTTGTATTGTATACAACTTCAAATCTGCCCAGGAGGAGTCAGAGAGCAAAATTTGATTATATTTCTGAGACCAGTATTTTAAGCAAATGCACCAAGTGGCAGACTAAGATAAAACTTCACCTGGAAAGCAGCAAGTGCCAGAAGAAATCACATTAATTCATTTAGCAAACTTGAGGAAAAGTGTAATTTTTAGAATTTGCTGCTGTCCCTGATCCTCACAAGCCACAATTAACTCCTGGACAAGAAATGCTGCAGAATGGATTCATACCCCAGAACCACACAGAACTGCAGGGAGGTGGGGAAGCATGATTCCTTCAAAGCAGATTTAGGGATCCATTTGAGATAATCTGTTTTGACAAGGAACTTTCTCATCTTCCTCCATTGTGCCTTTCTTTTCTATGCCTTTCTGTACCTAAGAGGAGCATCCGTCTTGATGGTAGTAGTTTCCCATTGTGCCCCTCTTAGTGCTACCTATCCCTGGTTTTCTTCTAATGTTCCCAATTCCTGTTTCCCTGAAAAGTTGTAGTTGCAGCCCTTCCTGCTGCTAAGGGTTTTCTCCAAACTTTTTTTGTTTCCTTGAGCTGCTTTGGAACTCCTGATTTGGTTGTATTTTTTTTTTTTATAACTATCCTGCACAGCTCTGTCCTGACTTCTCAAGTGTTCCTGCATTGATTATTCTTGCCATCATATTTTACTTAATTACACAGATTAAAAGAAAAAAAATCATTAAATAACTGAACAGCATAAGGAGTGCTAAAATTTGAGAATAATTAGCAAATTATCATTCCTTCCTATAAATGTAAAGCTTCAGGACAAGCAAGCACATTTTATGTTTAGTTGAACAAGTGTTTACCATCAGATCAAATGCTTAATAGTAGTGATAAGGAAATCTGGCTGCACTAATCAATCAAAGCTGGAGAGAATCAGCCACAATAGTAATGCTGGTGACAACTTTCACATGGAGGAAAAAACCTGATAAAACTCTGCTGCAATTGCATGCAAAATTAATTGATATTAAATTGCGTGACTAGGTCATTGTTCCGTGTTCACAAAAGGCAAAGTGTCTGTTTATTTAGAAGAAAGGGATTGATGACAACCTTACAGGGAAGAGGTACTGGAAACCTTAACCAGAGTGAAGTCACACATAGAAATGGTGATGTTATCCCAGGGTCCTTAATACAGCTGCAGTTACCATCTTTCTGATTTTGAACGGCATTAAAAATTAGGCACGTCCAAGGGTGCAAATGTAGGGTCTGCACCTACTTGCACAGTTCCTAGAAAAGCCATGTCAGTGAAGACAGAGATGCTAAGGTGTTTTTTGGAAAGGAGCTGAGTTTGACATCCTCATTCACTCAACATGCCTCACACCCTTGGCACTCACACAGAATCCCAGAATGGCTCAGGCTGGGAGAGAGCACAGTGGCTCATCTGCCCCAAACCTCTTGATCCAGCAGGACCATCCCAGAGCACATGACACAGGATTGTGTCCAGAGGAGTCTGGAATATCTACAGTGAGGGAGACTTCACACCCTCTCAGGGAAGTCTGTAATTTCTTCCTTGTGTTCAGGTGGAACTTCCTGGGATCAGTCTCTGCCCATTCCTCTGGTGCCATTGCTGGACCCCACAGAGCAGAGCCTGGATACCCTCCCTAAAAAACCAGGAAGAACCAACAGCGTAACCCTGCAAAGGGTACCTGATGATGTTATGTCTTCATTTCTGGGTTATTCAGGCATACCAAGATAATTACCCCTCAGAGGGTGCATTCTGCCCACTCCCGTAATACTACTGTAGAATAATGTTATACAAATAAACAAAGCTTACCCACTCCCATGCTGGGGACAGCTTTTGCCCACTTCTGTGGCAATAACAAATCAAAAACAGGTACACTTTTATATTTACCACTATCTCACCATGCTATCACTGTTGGAGTGACCTGTGTCACCTCTGAGGAAAAGAAGCTCTGCCCAGCCATGCAGCAGCTGCCTGGCTGCTCCAAATGAAGATGTGGATCAGGGCAGTAGTGTCAAACATGCCACTATGGTGGAAAATGGCCTTGGCTCACCTGCTCAGCTACGGAGCCAGGACGAAAAGCAGCTGTGCTGCTGCCAGGACAGGAATTGATGAACCTCTTGTTGGAAGTGTCAGGGAAGTCAAAGCAGGAAGAATTTGAAAACTCCTGGTTGGAATTCTACCCAGACAATGTAGTGCAAACCCCCTCTGTTTTACAAAAGTAGCAGAGATCCTTAAAGACTACAAGTGATGGAGAATCAGTTTCAGACTGCATTCCACCAGAAAACACATGTGCCCAGGCAATTACCAGAGACATAAGGTAGTCTGTCACTTCAGTTCTGACGAGGAAACCCATTTAACCACTTTATTCACACAGAGCTCTCATCCTTGCTCATTCCAGGCTTATTTCAGTCAGCACAAGCAGGGCAGAACAAGACTATGCAGGGAAGCATGTCCCATTTGAATGGTCATAAACAGCAGCAGGAGGACTTTCTGGGCAGTCTTAGAATCACAGAATGATTTGGGTTGAAAGGACCTTTAAAGATCTGCTCATTCCAACCCCTCTGGCACCTTCCACTAGATCACAGTATTCCAAGTGCCATCCAACCTGGCCTGGAACACTTCCAGGGATGGGGAAGCCACAGCTGCTCTGGACAACCTGTGCCAGGGCCTCAGCACCCTCACAGGGAGCAATTTCTTCCTCATATCCAGTCTAATCCTGCTCTCTGTCAGTGTGAAGCCATTCCCCCTTGTCCTGTCACTCCAGGCCCTTGAAGATTGTTTCCATCTCCGCAGGCACTGCAAGGCTACAATGAGGTCACCCCAAAGCCTTCTCTTCTCCAGGCTGAACAATCCCAATTGTTCCCTCAGCCTTTCCTCCCAGCAGAGCTGCTCCATCCCTCTGATGCCCTTGGTGTCCCTGCTGTGGCCTGGCTGCAACAGCTCCCTGTCCTTCCTGTGCTGGGCCCAGGGCTGGATGCAGCCCTGCAGGGGGGGCTCAGCAGAGCCGGGCAGAGGGGCAGAATCCCCCTCCCCTGCCGCCCTGGGGCTCTGGGTGCTGCCCAGCACAGGGGCATTCTGAGTTGGGGCATGTCCTGCTCTCACCCATAGTACTCCCAGGTCCTTCTTCCAGGGCTGCTCCTTCTGCCCTTCTCCAGCCTGAATTGATTCCAGGGTTTCTCCGACACAGATCTTACCAAACCTTATGAGTTTTCCAGGGAACTGGACCCAGCTGAGCTCACACGATCCAAGAACATCAGGAATTGCATGTACATGGTGATGTTTTGTGCATTGCCAAAATCTGAGAAACGCAACATCTCCCATGTAATAAAAGAACAATGAAATCACAAAGATTAACTCTTCAGTTGCTTCTGGTTCTACTGTCTTTAATAGTTGCTTCCTGTTGTATCTCTCTGTCCTACAGCCTTTTAATTACTTCATCAACTGTTGTACTTTGGGCATTTTTGTTAGTCTGGTCTTCAAGCTGTTTGATTACAAAGTTGAAAGATTGTGCATGAAGGCAAGTTACTTAATTTGTAGTTTCAAACATTTGATTCAGCAATAATGAGAAAGACCTGTTGTAATGAGAAGCAAGACATAGCATGGAAGAAACTTAGATGCAAAACAAAATGATAGGTTCAGCAAGTTAGAATGCATGTTGATTTTAAGGCCTGTGTTGTGAAAACATTTTCTTTACAGAAAAAAAATAATTAAAGGATGACTGATGCTGTTCTGAATTATTTCCTTTGCTAATGGAGATGCTAGACCCCCAAATCATAGGCTTAGTTTCTAATGAACCCAAGTTTCTCCACCAGCTAAGCAGCCACCTTGATCCTTTAATACCTCCTCAGCATGAGATGGCTAAGCTAATATGAAAGAAGTTAATGGAAGTATTTTC